GTGACAGAGCAAGACTTTTTTTTTTTTTTTTTTTTTTTTTTTAAAGACAAGTGACCACTTTGTTGGGTTTGGGTGTGGTAACAGAAGTATATTCAGTTATCTGAAAGGACTATTTAAATATTAAATATTCCCTTTCCAACTGCATATCTATGTCAAGTCAGATATTCTTGTACTTTAATGAAAAGAAAACATTGCAGAATAGTGAATAGGGAAATCCTGTTCTACTAACAGACATTTAGGAGATTTGTAAAAATGTAACATCGCCACTATTCTTACCAAATTTTTGTTTTGAAGAGTTACTTTTCAGAGAAAGTCATGTTATTAACATGTAACATTTTAAAATATTTAAAATTATTTTAGTTTTAATTTCAGTATGGCGAATACTGATAGATGTAACTTGCATACACAGAGGCTTTTGGAGGGCTTCAGTAATGTAACAGTGTAAAGGATCCTGACATCAAAGTTTTTTTGCTCTTACGTAACACCAGCATCTCCATTTGTTCACAAGATCCCACTCATTGTTTACTTAATAATAGAACTCCTGTAGTTCTCTATACAACAATACTATTGTTTCCTATGAGATTACTTATATCAACCCACTAGGTATCATCAGGTTTAACCGTTTGTTGACCCCCTCATACTTCCCTTCATCTGTTACCTCACATCAGTTTCTTTGACAGGAAAATGTGAAAGAGGTGTCCACTCTGTTTCTCTACTACTACTTTTGTTATTAATTGAAGCTACTTCAATCAAGTTTTTCTCTACCATTCTACTAAAATAGTCTTGTTTACGGTCTTTAATACCATCCATATTCCTAGTAGTCATCTCTCAGCTCTCTGAGTTAATCTTGTCTTTAACATTTGACCCAATCCATTACTTCCATTACTTTTTCCCGTTACGTTTTTTATTTTTATTTATTTATTTATTTATTTATTTTTGAGATGGAATCTTGCTCTGTCACCCAGGCTGGAGTGCAGTGGCACGATCTTATCTCACTGCATCCTCCTCCTCCCAGGTTCAAGCAATTCTCCTGCCTCATCCTCCCAAGTAGCTGGGATTACAGGCGTGCACCACCGTGCCCAGCTAATTTTTGTATTTTTAGTAGAGACAGGGTTTCGCTGTGTTGGCCATCCACTGTGCCCGGCCCCGTTACTTTACTTCATACTATTTTCTTGTCTCTTTTCCTTCACTGGCTATTCCCCCAACCCCTGTTCTTCTTCATCTCCCCTATCTAAATATTGGAAGGCTTCCAGGACTCAGCCAGTCCTACAACCTTTTTATTAGTAGCCACTCCCTATGTATTCTCCCCCGTTAAGTCCCGTAGCTTTAAGTACCTGACTCTCCCATTTGTATCTCTAGTCCCCATATCTCTCCCAAATTTCCCCTTATAATATCTTGGAGGCCTAATAGGGATCTCAGAATTAACATATCCAAAGCTAAATACTGTACAGTAATTGATTGCCTTGTTTCTCAATGACTTTTCCTTCAGTTGACTTTTTATCAGACAGTGGCAATGTTGTTCTAGAATTTTTCATCTAGATTGTGTAGATTTGAATCGCTGCCATTAGTATTGAGTTTTCCATCTGTAAAGTGGGGGTAATAATTCAATAATTTTATGAGGTGAAGATCCTAGGGTTTAAATGTAGGTAAAATTTCTACATCGTCCGTTATTAACACTTAATACCAGTTGCCCAGGCCAAAAAACGTTTGCTTTATCTCTCACTCTTTTATTCAATAAATTATATACCTAGTCCATTAGCAGATTTTATTTTATTTTATTTTTATTTTTATTTTTTGAGACGGAGTCTTCCTCTGTCGCCCAGGCTGGAGCACAGTGGCCGGATCTCAGCTCACTGCAGGCTCCGCCTCCCGGGTTTATGCCATTCTCCTGCCTCAGCCTCCTCCCAAGTAGCTGGGACTACAGGCACCCGCCACCTCACCCGGCTAGTTTTTTGTATTTTTTAGTAGAGACGGGGTTTCACCGTGTTAGCCAGGATGGTCTCGATCTCCTGACCTCGTGATCCGCCTGTCTCGGCCTCCCAAAGTGCTGGGATTACAGGCTTGAGCCACTGCGCCCGGCCCATTAGCAGATTTTAAAATAAGTATATTCAGAATCTAACCTCTAATACTCCTCAGGTTCTTGTCTAGATTTTTACAGTTTCTTTCCTTTTTTTTTTTTTTAAATAGAGAAAGAGTGGTGGTTTTTTTTTTTTTTTTTTTGGACATAGGGTCTTGCTCTGTTGCCCAGGCTAGAGTGGAGCAGCATGATCCTAGTTCACTGCAGCCTTGAATTCCTGGGCGCAAACAGTCCTCCTTCCTTAGCCTCCTGAGTAACGAGGACTGCAGGTGCACACTGTGATGTCAGCTAATTTTTGTATTTTCCTGTAGAGATGCTAGTCTCGAACTCCTGGGCTCAAGTGATCCTCCCACCTTGGCCTCCTGAAGTGCTGGGATTACAGGCATGAGCCACCATGCTCAGCCTTAGACTTTTTCTTTTTCTTTTTCTTTTTTTTTTTGAGATGGAGTCTCGCTCTGTCACCCAGGCTGGAGTGCAGTGGCACAATCTCGGCTCCCTGCAACCTCTGCCTCCCTGGTTCAAGCAATTCTTCTGCCTCAGTCTCCCAAGTAGCTGGGACTACAGGTACACACCACCACGCCCGGCTAACTTCTGTATTTTCAGTAGAGATGGGGTTTCACCATGTTGGTCAGGCTGGTCTCGAACTCCTGACCTTGTGATCCATCTACCTCAGCCTCCCAAAGTGCTGGGATTACAGGCATGAGCCACCACAGCCCGGCCAGACTTCTTTCCAACTGGTTTTCTCCCCAGTTCTATTCTTATTCTGTCTTAAAGTCTATACTGACGTGATGCTGCTCTCGCCCTCTTCCCTTTTATTTCCTATATTCTTCCCCAGCTTAGTCTAGCCAGAAAAGTTTTCTGTTTTGCAAATATTTCAAGCAAGCTTCTTTTAGAGCTTTGAACTTACTGTTGCCTCTGCCCTAGAGTGCTTTTCCCTTGTTTTTGTTTTTTTTTTTTTTTTTCCCGGCTTACCTTAAGTTCTCTGCTTCAATTTGACATTGTCCATGTGGTCTTAGCTCATTCTTGTTATAATCACAGTGTCTTGAATTGTGCCCAACAATATTAGGTGCCCAAGTATTGTTGATTGAATTAAGAAGAGGGATTATCCTTCCAAATAATTTGGTTTTCATTAATGGAATTTAGAATATCACTGACTCTTGCTCTTTTGACCCAGGTTTTTCTTAAAGCTGTAAGAAACATTAAATAAAGGTCTAACTGACACACAGGAAACTGCACATAACTTTAAAGTAACAATTACGAGTTTCTACATATGTATATACACCTGTAAACCATTATCACAATCAAGATAATGAGCATATTCATCACCTCAAAGTTTCCTCATGTGCCTTTGTACTTCATTCCCTCCCCAGCAACCATTAATCTGCTTTCTGTCACTGAAGATGGGTTGCATTTTGTAGAATATTATCTAAATAGAATCATACAGTAAGTACTGTTTCTTTTTGTATAGTTTCTTTGATTCAGCATAATTATTTTGAGATTCATCCATGTTACCACGTGTATTAATAGTTCATTCTTTTTATTAGTGAATGACATTTCATGATGTAGATATATCACAATTTGTTTATCCATTTGGGTTTCCAGTTTTTGGCTTACAAATAAAGCTGTTGTGAATATTTGTGTACAAGTCTTTGTATGGGCATTCATTTCCATTTTTTGGGTCCATACCTAGGAGTGGAATGGCTGGATCATATGGTAGGTATATATCTAACTTTAAGAAACACCCAAACTGTTTGCTAAAGTGATTCTATCATTACATTATTACCAGCAGTGTTTGACAGTTCTAGTTGCCCTACACCCTCACCGTCATTTGATGTGTGGTCAGTCTTTTAAAATTTTAGCCATTATAGTGAGTATAACAGTATCTTATCATGGGTTTAGTTTGTATTTTTTTGAGTGACCCATAATGTTGGCATCTTTTCATGTGCTTATTTGCCATCCATGTATCTTTGATGACATGTTTGTTAAAATCTTCCGCCCCCTTTTTATTGGATTATTATTGCATTCTAAGAGTTCTTTATATATTCAAGTCCTTTATCAGAAGTTTTGCATATATTTTCTACCAGTTTGGCTTGCCTTTTTTGTTTTTATAATAGTGTCTTTCAGAATCAAAAGTTTTTCATTTTAATGGTATGTCTACTTTATTGATTTTTTTTTTCCTCTTGTTAATAGTTTGTGTTTTTTCTTTCATATTCAGGAAGTCTTTGCCAAACCCAAAGTCACTAAGATTTTTATCCTATAGTTCCTTGTATAAATTTTATGGTTTAAATCTTATATTTAGATAGCCTATGATCCATTTCAGATTAATTTTTGTATGAGGTATAGATAACAGTTGAGGTTCACTTTATTGCATGTGGATTTATAATTACTCCAGCACCATCTGTTAGAAAGATTATCCATTCCCCATTGCATTTCCTTGGTACTTTGTCAAAATTTCAATTAGTTGTATATGTGTGGATCTGTTTTTGTACTCTGTGTTCTGTTTGATCCATTTGCTTTTCTTTATGCCAATACTACATTGTCTTAATCTTAAAATCACTGCCTCTTGCCCTGTTTACCTAAATGCTTCCTAATAATTCTTTTAGCTAGTACAATTTGTATGAATTTATGGTTCTTTTATGATACCTTTTTTATTTGTTGCTTAATTAGCAAATATTTATAGTAATACAATACAGGCTTTGTGAGTAGATGAGCCGTTACGAGAAAATATTCTAGTCAAGCTTCTGGGAATGTTGCCTTTAAGATTTCTTTTGATTTTTGTGATGGTAAATAAGTGTGTTAGCCAGGCCTTGCCAGAGTAGTCCAAAGGTTTTAAAAAATTAAACTATTGTTCAAATATAGCAGGTATTCAAATAATACTGATTTAAACAGTACTTGACACTAGAAAAAAATCTTTTTCTTGCAGTCTGGATGTGGATAGTGAAGCTAAGAAACTATTGGGTTTAGGACAGAAACATCTGGTGATGGGGGATATTCCAGCAGCTGTCAATGCATTCCAGGAAGCAGCTAGTCTTTTGTAAGTATTGTATATTTTGCTATGATGTAATATTATGTTCTAATAAACCTTGAGTTATAAAAAGTTATTTTATGGGGAAAACACATGAAGAGCAAGAGTTTTAAAACATTTGATTATTTTTCATGTGGTTTGTACCAGTAACTATAAGTGTAAAACTTTAAATATCACCAAGCAATTCCACCCTTTCATTTTCTTGAGTAATGTAATTTATATTCCAACCACTGCTAATTTAGGTGACCATACCTTGTCCTGGTTTGTCTAGGACCTCACTCCCCACCCTCCCCTGCTTTTTTTTGTTGTTGTTGAGACAGGGTCTCTGTCATCCAGGCTGGAGTGCAGTGGCACAATCTCATGCTCACTGTAGCCTCAACCTCCCAGGCTCCCCAGTAGCTGGGACCACAGGTGTGTGCCACCATGCCCAGCTAATTTTTGTATTTTTTTTTTGTAGAGATGGGATTTCCCCACATTGCTCAGGCTGGTCTCGGAAGTCTTGGACTTAAGCCACCTTGGCCTCCCAAAGTGTTTTGTAAAGGGATTACAGGTGTGAGCCACTGAGCCCAGCCTGACTTTCCCAATTTTAACACTGGAAGTTTGTGTCTATGGAAACTCTTTAGGCCCAAGCAAGTCATGATTGATAGCGCTATTATTAGCACAGCATTTTTTGGTACATTTTTAGCACATTTTCATACATTCTTAGCACTGTTGTTGGAATTGCTTAGAAGTTGGTAGCTACCACCAGGTAGCCATGTAGACCTATATCCTGGAGGAAAATGTTAGCTTTAGGGCCTTAAAGATCATTTATTTTCCCCCAAAGACTTTAATGTACCTCCATTATCTGAGAGGGGAAAAAAAAAGTTAAATCTTCAAGCATCAGGCTTTTGGTTTATGGCTAGATTTGAGTTAGTTTCCTCAAATATAGTATTAGCAATTGGAATTGAAGGTCAGTCATTACATACATTACATACAGTTGATTACATTACGTACAGTTAAGTTAAATGTTCCTTATAAAAGAAATGGTTATAACAAAGCATTTGTGGGTTTCAGGTTTGACGCTTAATATCAATCCATTCTTTTCCTAACCCCCTACTGCCTCTCCCAATATCCAGAACAGAATCTTACTCCTGGATATCTGCAATAATCTCTTGTCTGATTCCTGTCCTCTTTGTTCCTCTCTGCTTGAGCTTAATGAATTGGAGTTCTGGTAGGGTAGAGACCAAATTTTATCTGGTAGTATTTAGGGAATTTTATTTTTTTTAATTTTTTTTTGAGATGGAGTTTCACTCTTGCTGCCCTGGCTGGAGTGCGACGGCGTGATGTCAGCTCACCGCAACCCCTGCCTCCCGGGTTCAAGTGATTCTCCTGCCTCTACCTCCCGAGTAGCTGGGATTACAGGCATGCACCACCACGCCTGCCTAATTTTGTATTTTTAGTAGAGATGGGGTTACTCCATGTTGGTTAGGCTGGTCTCGAACGCCCGATCTCAGGTGATTCACCTGCCTCAGCCTCCCAAAGTGCTGGGATTACAGGCGTGAGCCACTGTGCCCAGCTGAATTACGTATTTTTATTTAAAAATGCATGGTTTTCTTACAACATAAAATGTTACCTAAGTTTTTAAGCACACATAAACACTTTTTTCTTAGGTTATTTTTCCCAGATTACTGGAGAGGTCAGTATTCCCACGTTTTCCTGCCATTAAGGGTATTTAGGAAGAAAATTTGAGATGTCCTATTCTAATCTAGTAGACTACCCTTAAACATGACCTCCATCACAATTTACTGCTTATGTTCTCTGTTTACTCTCAGTAGACTCTTAGGCCATTAGTTGGCCTGGCTTCGCATGAATTCTGTCAGTATTTCACTCCATGAAAGCCAGTCTTCTTACCTTACATAGAAAAGTACTTTCTCCTTTCATTTATTTGTTCATTGTTTTTTTTTTTTTGAGACAGAATCTCGCTCTGTCGCCCAGGCTGGAGTGCAGTGGCCGAATCTCAGCTCACTGCAAGCTCCGCCTCCCGGGTTCACACCATTCTCCTGCCTCAGTCTCCCGAGTAGCTGGGACTACAGGCGCCCACCACCTCGCCCGGCTAGTTTTTTTGTATTTTTTTTAGTAGAGACGGGGTTTCACTGTGTTAGCCAGGATGGTCTCGATCTCCTGACCTCGTGATCCGCCCGTCTCGGCCTCCCAAAGTGCTGGGATTACAGGCTTGAGCCACCGCGCCCGGCCTTTTCCTTTCATTTATTATACTTATGTAATTTTTGTCCTTCCTTCTCTAAATTCAATAGCTAAGACTTATACACAGTGCTATTTGTTGTCTAAACATTGTTTTCAGTGCTTTTACATACATTAATAACTCATTTAGTTCTTGCAACAGCTCTTTGAACAAACAGTTATTAATGTTCCCATTTAGAGATGAGAAAACTAAGGCACTGTGAGAATAATTTGTCTGAGGTCTCACAGCTAGTTATGGGTTAAAGGTAGGATTTGAATCCAGGTAAAACAGCTCCAGATATTCTGCACTTTACATCATGCCTTTCCATGGGCCTTAATCATCCTCTAGGTCCCAGCCAAAGGTCCTTTAACTACTCTGGTCTATATTGACATCTGTCTTTTAGCAGGAGGAATACCTATTAATACCTTAGGGTTGTTTGGCCCTACATTATATATTACTAATTGTAGCACAATTATTTCACTTACGATGTGTATATGTTATATATTGATAAAGAGCATACAAGATTTTCATGCATTGTTTAACGTCGCTTTGACCTTGACTTGAAAGCAAGAGGGGTATTGGTTTCCTAGGAGTATGTTACTGGAGAAATACCAATTTATAACTGAAGAACTAGAACTAAATGTTTTAGACTAGATGATAATTCAGATTTTAGATTTTTATTTTCTTTGTAGAGGTAAGAAGTATGGAGAGACAGCTAATGAGTGTGGAGAAGCCTTCTTTTTCTATGGGAAATCACTTCTGGAGTTGGCAAGGTATGGATGTTGTATTTAAAAACTGAAGTTTCCTTGTTAGGATTGTTTTTACTAGCTTTGAGATTTCACAGGAACTAAGCAAGATTGCTTTTACCTAGAGAGTTTTGAAGGAGCTTGAAGTAGTGATCGAAGTTGTGAATGGCACTTGATACAATTAGTAGTTATATTTAAATTTTGACTTCTGGAGTCAATTAGGAGCAAAGATCTTTCTGATAGTAAATGATCCAAAGTTCAATGTAGGGAGAGAATCCTTAAAAGCACTGTGAGCTAGCTCAAAACAAGGACTGAATAGAGGACAACTGGAAAGAATTAGCAGGTGAGACTGTCGAGTAAAAAAGACTCTTACTATTGAAAAGTTCTTGGCTATGTTCTATCAGAATTTATTAACCAGAATAAGTTCTGTTTAGGGTATACAAACTAGCAAATGATATCATCTATTTAATCTCAGTTCTGGTAAGTTTTTTTTTTTTTGAGATGGAGTCTCACTCTGTCACCCAGGCTGGAATGCAGTGGCATGATCTTGGCTCACTGCATCCTCCATCTTCCGGGTTCAAGTGATTCTTCTGCCTCAGCCTCCTGAGTAGCTGGGACTACAGGCGCGTGTCACCACACCCAGCTAATTTTTTATTTTTAGTAGAGACAGGGTTCAGCGTGTTGGTCAGGCTGGTCTTGAACTCCTGACCTCAGGTGATTCACCCACCTCGGCCTCCCAAACTGCTGGGATTACAGGCGCGAGCCACTGCACCTGGCCCAGTTCTGATAAGTTGTTTTTTTTTTGTTTTGTTTTAAGACGGAGTTTCACTCTTGTCACCCAGGCTGGAGTGCAGTGGTGTGATCTCCGCTCACTGCAACCTCTGCCTCCCAGGTTCAAGCGATTCTCTTGCCTCAGCTTCCTCAGTAGCTGGGATTATAAGCCTACGCCACTATGTCCAGCTAATTTTGTATTTTTAGTAGACACAGGGTTTCTCCATGTTGGTCAGGCTGGTCTTGAACTCCCGACCTCAGGTGATCTGCCTGCCTCCGCCTCCCAAAGTGCTGGGATTATAGGCGTGAGCTACCATGCCTGGCCTCTGGTAAGTTTTTAATCTCATAATCATATAGAACTTTCTCATGATTTGCCATGAAAATCTTGCTAGAGCATTTTTGGCTATTTAGAGAAATGGGTGGATACAGAGTTTGGGAAATAGGATGGTTCTGTTACAAATGGAATGCATATAGGTCTTGTTCTTTTGACAAGAGACATCACGCTTTTCAGCGGCTGGATGGAGGAGTAGAGTATGCTTATTTCCTTTCAGTGCTCTTGCAGTCTTGATTTATATTACTAAAGTTTTGTTCATTGCTTCCTTGAATATAATATAGTTATATATTGCCTGTGCTTGGCTTACTCTTCCCTTTTATAATACAGGACTATATTTTCTGTCTTAGAAAAAATTGCTAGGTTCTAGCCATCAAACCTTTGGTGCTTTCTCTTGTTCTCCTAGAATGGAGAATGGTGTGTTGGGAAACGCCTTGGAAGGTGTGCATGTGGAAGAGGAAGAAGGAGAAAAAACAGAAGATGAATCTCTGGCAGAAAATAATGATAATATAGATGGTATGTGGAGTTGCATGTGACATTCAAGAGATGCGACGTTGTATATTTCTTGTATACAGTGGTGGAAACAGGGCTCTACCTGTCCTGGATGGTCTCTCCTAGGATGCTTGGGGTGATGCCTGCATCGGGTAGAGATTGCAGTGGGGGTAGCTGTTTACTGAAACTGACAGCAGATTTTTCTAAGAGAATAACTTAATCTCTTAAGTAAATTTGGTTATTTCAGTTGGGGTTTTTTAAACCAAAAAGATAAAAGCAAGATTAAATTGGTGTTTTAAATACTATTACAACCTTAAATATTTTTCTGATGCAAAATTTTTTAAAACAGCCTGTGCAGTTCAGTTATTTTAATAGCGGTACTTTTAGAGCCCTTGTACATTTTTTATGTCTGCGAAAATTATATAATTTCTAAGCTGAATTTGGCTGCTAGAGTTTTACATATCAGTTGGGGGAGAATGAAAAACTTGACATCTCTTACCTAACTGGTAATCAGAATGCTCAAGTAAAACAAAAGTTTAACAAGCTTGGGTTTCTTTTGCATTAAGTTGCTCTGCTAGCTGGGACGCTCCCTTTCCTTTTCTCTAGGGGGCAGATAGTTTTAAGGCCATCTGCTGAAACTTGGTAGGCTTTTTGAGGGTTTAAAGGGAATGTATTTTTAGTTTCCATTTATGCCTTTATCATTAAACTCGAAGACATGTTTATGCTTCATGTTCTTTAACCATGTAGAGGAAGCAAGGGAAGAGTTGAGAGAACAGGTTTATGACGCCATGGGAGAAAAAGAAGAAGCCAAAAAAACAGAGGACAAGTCTTTGGCAAAGCCTGAAACTAATAAAGAACAGGACAGTGAAGTGAAGAAGGGTGGAAGAGAAGATATGGATATAAGTGAATCTGCAGAGGAGCCACAGGAAAAAGTTGACTTGACTCTAGATTGGTTAACTGAAACTTCTGAAGAGGCAAAAGGAGGAACAGCACCAGAAAGACCGAATGAAGCTGAAGTTACTTCTGGGAAGCCAGAACAGGAAGCACCAGATGCTGAGGAAGAAAAATCAGTTTCTGGAACTGATGTCCAAGAAGAGTGCAGAGGAAAAGGTCAGGAGAAGCAGGGAGAGGTAATTGTGAGCATGGAGGAGAAGCCAAAAGAAGTTTCAGAAGAGCAACCTGTGGTGACTGTAGAAAAGCAGGGCACTGCAGTGGAGTTAGAAGCAGAGTCTTTAGACCCAACAGTCAAGCCAGTGGATGTGGGTGGGGACGAGCCAGAGGAGAAGGTAGTTACCTCTGAACATGAGGCAGGAAAGGTGGTTCTTGAACAACTGGTAGGTCAAGAAGTGCCACCTGCTGAAGAGTCACCAGAGGTGACAACAGAGGCTGCAGAGGCCTCAGCTGTAGAGGCTGGATCAGAAGTCTCTGAAAAGCCTGGGCAGGAGGCTACAGTTCTCCCTAAGGATAGTGCAGTCAATGGACCGTCAGCTGTAGGAGATCAGACTCCTATTGAACCACAGACTTCTATAGAAAGACTGACAGAAACAAAAGATGGCTCAGGACTAGAGGAGAAGGTCAGGGCAAAGCTGGTTCCTAGTCAGGAGGAGACTAAGCTGTCTGTAGAAGAGTCTGAGGCAGCTGGAGATGGGGTTGATACCAAGGTAGCCCAGGGAGCTACTGAGAAATCAACTGAAGACAAAGTTCAGATAGCTGCTAATGAAGAGACACAAGAGAGAGAAGAACAGATGAAAGAGGGTGAAGGTAACCGGGATATGCAAGAGCTGCAGTGGGTGGAGTACATTCTGGATTTGACTCACTAATTATGGGTAAAAGTCAGCCTTCCATTCAGGATTTTCCGTCTGCCTTTGGATTAGGAAAGGGCTAAATGCAAAGGGGGGTAGTTTAACAAGGTTGTGCTAGTCAAGTAAGTTAAATCAAAAGCAGCAAGTGTTCTTTAGTTGGCTTATAAACTAACATTTTTACTAACTGCAAAATAGGCCTTCTCTGTGATTTCTGAGACTTGGCTAGCTATCAGTAACTTGTTGCATCATACTAGCCAATAAAGTGGGATGGAAAAGGTAGATGAGGGGTGGGGTAGGTAGGGAAATAGTGGGCTAGTAGGCTGGCAGAGAATGCTGAATGGATGTTCACTTGCATGCCTCTGGATTTTAAAATTTATTGTTCACATGACTCCTTTTCTGTGTGTTAGTAAGCAGGAACAGAGCAGTAGAATCCACTGAATTGGTACACTGAAGCAGGCATGCCATTTAAATGAAGATAGTTAACCTTGACTGTTGTATCACCAGAGTTAAAGAATTCTGGTGCTCCTCTCTACCTTTAAGTCTTCAGGAAGTGTTTAGAGGCTTATTCACATTAGTTAAAACAGGCCCCCCACCACCTTCCCCAAGGCAACAAAAAACAGAACCATTAGCTCTCTTGCTGCTTTCCTTCCTCATTTCATGCTTGCTTCGGCTGCTAAACTGAATTTTTTGTTACTTAGAATATCATAAAGCGTGGATGCTTTCTATAATGCTATTGGTCTAATTGTGATTAAATTTCATTAAGATGTTTAAGCCTCTAATTACTACATAACTGGCAAGTCTGACTTTTGCTATCATTTGAGGATTCTACTGTATATAAGGTTCATCTAACATTGGCATTAATAACCACAGGTATATTCCAACTAATGGTTACTTCTTGTAATTGCCAGACTACTTCAAGAGTTCTCTTCAGTTTTAGATTTTCAGAGACCCATCTTCAATACTTTGAGCTCATTCTTGTAAACTTCCTTCCACTATGTGCAGGTCCCTGTACTCCAGCCAGCACAGGCTCAGTACTGGAAATGAATTGGCTAAATGGTAGCACCATTGGGTTTCTTTTCTTTATGGAAAAAAGCACAGAACTAAATTCCGGAAAAAAAAAAAAAAAAAAAAAAAAAAAAAAAAAAAAAAACAAAACCCAAAACAAAACTCCCATGTCTTGATCTTAATGATTGTGAGCAAGCTCTGCTGACTGGCTCCTAAGACCTTGAATGGTAAGCTACGATAGAGATGTCATAGTAGGATCATAATTACCATTGTTAGAGCTCTCTCACATATATTACATCTGATCCTAAAACAATACTATGTGGTAGGTAGTAGTGCCCAAGTTATAGTGATGAGGTTGAAGTTTAAAGGTTACATGACTTGTTTAGGGTCATAGTACTGAATCCAAACCAAGATCTGCCTTGAATATATTATTCTTCCCAAGTTACCACACATCAAAGGAGACCGTGTTCATCCCTTTCCTACACTCAGTTAGAAATTTTGTTGTGGGCTGGGTGACAGTGTTCATCGCTTTCCTACACTCATTTAGAAATTTTGTTGTGGGCCGGGTGCAGTGGCTCACGCCTGTAATCCCAGCACTTTGGGAGACTGAGGTGGGCAGATCACCTGGTCAGGAGTTTGAGACCAGCCTGGCCAGTATGGTGAAACTCCGACTCTATTAAAAATACAAAAGTTATCCGGACATGGTGGCATGTGCCTGTGGTCCCAGCTACTCAGGAGGCTGAACGAGAAGAATGGCTTGAACCCGGGAGGCAGAGGTTGCAGTGAGCCGAGATCATGCCACTGCACTCCAGCCTGGGCAACACAGCAAGTCTCTGTCTCAAAAACAAAACCAAAAAAAAAAAAAAAAAAAAAAAAAAAAAACCAAAAAGAAATTTTGTCACTTATTTTAAAAATTAACTATATTTGAAAAGCCCCAGGCTTTTCATATGCTGCATCTTTTGGTGTTGTATATCAAGTATTGTTCTGCTTGTAAAGACAATACAGTTTTCCGTACTTACAAAAGAAGAAATGGGAGAAAGGGGTTTAAGTAATTTACCCTAGTCACACAGTAAGGAGAAGGCTGGGTACCCAAACTTCTGGCTCAAGTACTCAACCACTTTCTGTGCTTTATTTTCCTTTACGTGGCAGCACCATTCTGCAGAAATCTTCCAAGCAGTTTTTTCACTTAAAAATTAAAACCCTATTTACTGCCACCTCTTGACTCTTTGCCATATGTTGGACTGTACATTTCCTTCTAATAAAGATAATTGGTCTGTTACATTTCTTTTTGAATCGGGTCTTGCTCTTTTGCCAGGCTGGAGTGCAGTGGCATGACAGTCATGGCTCACTATAGCCTCAAACTCCTATGCCGAAGCCATCCTCCTGCCTCAGCGTCTCAGGCAGCTGAGACTGCAGGTGTGCACCACCATGCCCAGCTGGGGTGCAATCCACCCCCCAGGTTCAAGCATTTCTCCTACCTCAGCCTCCCGAGTAGCTGGGACCACAGACACATGTCCCCAGGCCTGACTAATTTTTTTGTATTTTTAGTAGAGATGGAATTTCACCATGTTGACCAGGTTGGTCTCGAACTCCTGACCTCAGGTGATCCTCTAGCCTCAGCCTCCCAGAGTGCTGGGATTACAGGTGTAAACCATAGCACCTGGCCCACCATACACCATTATCTTTTCATATCCAAATTTCCAAGTGGGTCTGGGCTTAGTTCCCTCCCCAAAGTTAGACCAGATGGGTGGTTTTATTAACTCCGCCCATCCTCTAGCAGAATACGCAGAAAAGCTGAAGTAGATTTACATATTTAGGATAATTGACAGAAAAGTAAATACTTCATCTTCCCAATGTGTAGGAAAAATTAAATTGATATTGTTATCTTCTATTCCTATCTGGTATCTCTTCCTACTCATACCAGAATGCTAGAAGACAACCTCTAATTTGAAACAAAGTATCTTAATTACTTGGAAGTTTTACATCAGATTTTTAAATTAAAATTCCTATAATTGCCTCAGAAGAATGTTATTGGTTCCTCTTGAGGAATCGGTACCATCTTCAAGGAATGGTGGGGAGCTAGGTTAAGGAGAAAGCCATTGCCATTAGTTTTTTTTTTTGGAGACGGAGTCTTGCTCTGTCACCCAGGCTGGAATGCAGTGGCATGATGGAGGCTCACTGCAACCTCCACCTCCCGGGTTCAAGCGATTCTCCTGCCTCAGCCTTCTGAGTAGCTGAGACTACAGGTGCATGCCACCACGCCTGGCTAATTTTTTGTATTTTTAGTAGAGATGGGGTTTCATTGTGTTAGCCAGGATGGTCTCAATCTCCTGACCTCATGATCCTCCTGCCTTGGCCTCCCAAAGTGCTGGGATTACAGGTGTGAGCCACTGCGCCTGGTAGTCGTTGCCATTACTTTAAAACCTTTCCCAACCCGTGCCCAGGTATCAATGGCAATGCCCTGATGTCCTCAGTAAATAAATTTGTTAAAGTATTTTCTAAGCTTCTTTGAAAATGGAATATTTTTTTGGTTGTTGCTGGTAAAACTCTTTTAACCTGACTATTGCTCTAAGGCCTAATTGCCATTTTTATATTCCCATTGTAAGGTGTTAGTATTTGAGCTCTTTTGGTGGTGGTAAAAATGCATAATGAAAGATGGCAGAGAAAGGTACATTATATCCAATTCATGAGTTGTTTGTATTAAAAAGCTTATTTTAATCACTTAACATTGTTGATTTGTCTAATCACTGACAGTAGAGCTGTTGATTAGGAGCCTGACCTTTAGATGGTTGACTTGTGAGTGTATTCAATATGGTGAGATATAGTGTTGATAAGGCTGCAGATTTTAGAGGTGTCATTAACAAGGTATAGGAGTAAAATAGGAGTTACAGTATTTCTTACTCAAATTCTGTACGTGCTAGAGCTGGCTGGAGTCTGTGACATGCTCATTGGTGTAAGTCGGTAAGGACTATGCTTTTTGCTCCACAGCTCAGTTGTGGGAAAGCTAGTCTCTTGAGCATTCTTGATCAGAATGGACTGGAATCATTTAACTTTGGTACTTTCTCAGGCTGTTAGTATTATCAAATGAATGGCTTAAAGATATCAGAGGCCGGGCGCAGTGGCTCACGCCTGTAATCCCAGCACTTTGGGAGGCCGAGGCTGGCGGATCACAAGGTCAGGAGATCGAGACCATCCTGGCTAACTCGGTGAAACCCCGTCTCTACTAAAAATACAAAAAATTAGCCGGGCGTGGTGGCGGGCGCCTGTAGTCCCAGCTACTCGGGAGGCTGAGGCAGGAGAATGGCGTGAACCCGGGAGGCGGAGCTTGCAGTGAGCCGAGATCACGCCACTGCACTCCAGCCTGGGCAACAAAGCGAGACTCCGTCTTTAAAAAAAAAAAAAAATCTATCAGAAACACTGAGGTCTCCACCTGCTTCTGGCTGAGTGGATGGGAGCTTCTAGCCAGTGAATAAGAGGCATTAGCCAATGTATCTTATTCTGAATGGTCCAGGTTGACTTTTAAAAGAGAAACACGCAGCCTTTTACTTGCTGAAGGTCTGACCCGTAGACTAAGATTACACATTCTTAGTCTAGGTTACACTTGAACTAGACTGCACCCACTGACAATATATTCAGTTCAGGTGTTAGTTCACTTGGATTAGCATCTGGCCTGTCCTATCTCTGAATATAGGTTGACACGTGTATTGGAATCTCTGACTAGTCAGAAGATGTTCTTAGTTATATTCTCAATACTGAGGAATTTTTACTTCTAGAAACTGAAGGATCAGAAGAGGATGATAAAGAAAATGATAAGACTGAAGAAATGCCAAACGATTCAGTCCTTGAAAACAAGGTATGTTGTTAGCCACTCAGTACTGTTGTCAGCCTTTCTCTTTTTTTGGGAGACAGGAGCTCACTCTTGTTGCCTAGGCTGGATTGCAGTGGGGTAATCATGATCATGGCTCACTGCAGCCTAGACCTGAGCTTAAGTGATCACCTCAGCCTCTCAAGTGGCTGGGACTACAGGCTTGTGCCAACACGCCCAGCTAATTTGCAGGACTGTAGCTTACCTAGTTTAGGCATGATTTTTTTTTTTTTTTTAAGATGGAGTCTCGCTCTGTCGCCCAGACTGGAGTGCAGTGGCGCAGTCTCGGCTCACTGCAAGCTCCGCCTCCCGGGTTCATGCCATTCTCTTGCCTCAACCTCCCAAATGGTTGGGACTACAGGCGCCTGCCACCATGCCTGGCTAATTTTTTGTATTTTTAGTAGAGACGGGGTTTCACCGTGTCAGCCAGATGGTCTCGATCTCCTGACCTTGTGATCCGCCCACCTCGGCCTCCCAAAGTGCTGGGATTACAGGCGTGAGCCACTGTGCCTGGCCTGTTATTTTTTTAAGAGAGAGAATCTCTGTCTCTGTTTCCCAGGCCGGAGTGCACTGGCACATTCAGGGCTCACAGTATCTTCAGCCTTCTGGGTTCAGGGAATCTGGCCTCATCTTCTCAGATAACTAGGTCTCCAGATGTTTGCCACCATGTCTGGCTAATTTGTTCTCTAATTTTATTTTGTTTAGATGGTGTCTTGCTATGCTGCCCAGGCTGGTTTCAAACCTGGCCTCAAGTGATTCTCCTGCCTCAGCCTCCAAAAGTGTTGGGATTATAGGCGTGACCCAATATGCCGAGCCCTCGGCATGATTATTATAGATAACTGTCCCTTGGTTATGGATTAGGGATCCTTTATTCATGCCTAGGATGGGAGGATAAATTTGATTCTAGGGGTCCTGTGTGTTAGTATGTGAGCCAACATTTCACTGTTAAAATACCACTGACATGGCCATGACTTAGGATAGTATGTGGACCCATTCTCTAGATTTTAGGGAGAAAGTCCAAATTTTGAATCGTATATCAACTTTTTTAAAGCTACGCTAAGTTGTACATTTAGATTTGTATTCTGAAAAGATGCCTAT